CTCGAATAATTTATCTGTAATAACACAAAAGTTGATAAATGTGTAGAAATATTTTAAGCACACAAAGTAATCACTAAAAGCATATAAATATGTATAAAAAATCGTAATGAGTTTTTCTGATGAAGAAAACCTACCAAGATTTACCATTGAAAGTATGCCATAGAAAGAAACATTTTAACAATTGGTTTAAAATATTTATTTGTGAACAAAGTCAATTTGGTAATACTATATGTATATTTTTATATAAATTTTCTTAAAATATAAGCGCCGCCAAAATAGCAGGAATTTCTTAAAGTATGAGATTAAAATTAGTTATATGTGGTTATTTACAATATTGAATGTGTGTCAAGAAATATTATCAGACTTAAAAGGCTAAACATTTTAAAAATCAGCGTCCAGCGTGAAAACTTGATCCATACGTTTAGCAGACACACCCGCTTTTCGGTATTCTCCCACACGCCTTTCGAAGAAATTCGTTTTTCCATCCAAGGAAATCAACTCCATAAATGGAAATGGATTCTTACTATTGTAAACCTAAAGTAATTTGAATAAAATATTACGGCTTGCAAGTAAAAAAATTGAATTATACAAACCTTGCCAACGTTGAGCTCAACTAGCAAACGATCAGCGACAAATTCGATATATTGAGACATGAGTTTGCAATTCATACCAAGGAGATTAACAGACAAAGCTACAGTTAGGAACTCTTTTTCAATTTTAACAGCATCTGTTATAATTTCAATAATACGTTGCTTAGATGGACGTTGCACCAAATGTTGAAACATAAGGCATGCAAAGTCACAATGTAATCCCTCATCACGAGAAATTAATTCATTAGAAAATGTTAAACCAGGCAAGATGCCACGTTGCTTTAACCAGAAAATAGCAGCAAAACTTCCACTGAAAAATATACCTTCAACAGCAGCAAAAGCAATGATACGTTCACCAAAGTTTGCACTTTTAGAAGAAATCCAAGATAGTGCCCATTCAGCCTTACGCTTTACCGCTGGCATGGTCTCAATAGCATTAAACAAATGCTCTCTTAAAAAAAAATTTTATTTCACAATACATACAATACACTCCATAAATAAACATACCTTTCTTCATGATCCTTAACATAAGTGTCAATCAAGATGCTATACATTTCTGAATGCACATTTTCAATTGCTATTTGAAATCCGTAGAAGCATCTAGCTTCAGTAACTTGAACTTCTTGGCTGAAGCGCTCCACTAAATTCTCGTTAACAATACCATCAGAAGCAGCAAAGAAAGCTAAGATATGCTTAATAAAATAACGCTCGTTGTCATTCAATTTCTCCCAATCATCCAAATCCTTAGCAAGGTCAACCTCTTCCACAACCCAAAAAGAAGCCTCAGCCTATAAAAAAAAAAAAAAAGCAAAAGCTTAATCAAATGAACTTTAATAAAACACAAGCTTTTCCATTAATAAAAAATAAATTAAAAACTTTAAAAATATTAACATAAACTTTAAAGAACATAAAATAAAATAAAGTTAAAAAATAATTGCACAGCTCTCATCATAAAACATTGCGCCACTATTTTTTTCACTGAACGATTAGCGCGCAAATCGAAAAACAAACAATAAAATTACAAAAACAATTTTAAATAAATACCATGCAGTCATGTTGAGACATGTTCCCGCGCAAATTAGTCATACAATTTTTTCCATGACCTTCTAATTTTACAACAGTTTTGCCGCGCATTTCTTTATTTCACAATAACTTACCTTTTTGTACATAGTCCAAATGTCGTAATATTCTATTGGAAACATAACAAAGCGGCGAGGGTTTTCTTGCAGTAAAGGCTCAATAGAAGGATCGAATGGAACCGGAGCCTTATTAGCTACTGCATTGACGGAATCATCAGAAGCTTCAACAGAATCAGGTTTAGTGACCATCTCTTCGTCCTTCATCATTTTACGAACATTAACGTTCTCCGTCAAAATTTTTCTTGGACTCTAAATATAAATAAAACACAAAAAATTCAATAAGCACTTGAAATGTTAAATAACTTTTATTCCACACATATACACTTTAAGCATTATATATTGTATATACCTTAAGAGAAACCTTATCAAGATGATCAGTAATATTTTCTTTACCAACACCAGCCATTTTGTTTAGTTTGTTGATCAGATATCAGATATTATAATCCAAAATTTAATTATTTAAAATAACTCAACTCGTGGACAACAAATACACAAGTTGACACCTCGACGTTCACAAACAGAATAGCAATGCCGGTTGGTGCGATTGCCCTTGTATGAAAGCGCGCATTTAATTTTGGCGCGATGTAAATTTTCATGCATTACACAAACATTGTGTAACTACACAATAACTTTAGACTTGTTGCCTTTCAACTACTTATACAATTCTTTATTGTATATTGACTTTTTCATACTTTACGCCACTAACATTTTAAAAATCAATCTATATAAGAGAATAATAATGAAATAATAACGTTCTTTCTCAAATCATTCTTAATATGCAAAACTTCATTTTTGTATGTGTGTAATTTCACACGATGTAATGTTATTAAAACTACAGCGAAACAGCTACAGTATGATATAAAAAAAGATGACTGCACTTGCAACTTTACATAACTTATTACATAGTATATATAACATATAATTTTTAACAGATTGTTTTTAACTCATTTGAAATATTAGTATTCAAATCATATGATCACAATTTTCCAAACAATTGCATGGCATAATTTCTTATTGTTTACAATTGTGTATTTTAACTAATGCTGTTTCTGTCTACTACGCAAAAACACTACATACCTTGTTTAACATTGTTTGACGTGGATACATTTGAGACTTTAATTTTTTCATCATAAAACATGAGTGACAAACATCAAGTTTAAAAGACAGAAATTTATGGGTGTATTAGAAATTAATAGGATTCGGTCAATTATCTGAAAAATTGTTGTATAATTAAAAATTGAAAAAAAAATTTTAGATGAAGTTTTTTATTCAACACTGTAGTGTGAATAATTGACAAATGATTTATGGGAACGTTATACCTTGAGTTGTCGATACTAAAGTATTAAAATTAATAACGCAAACCCTATTTTTCAAAATAATTGTTAAAGTTGGATATCTAAGTTTATTATAACATACTTAAGTTTAATTTTGTTCACTCTATATAGTAAATAATTGCTGGAATGTATTTAATGCAAAATTCATACATTCAAAATAGCGTTTTAAATGTATAATTATATTTTGGAAAATAGATCTATAACCTAGAGCTTTTTCATTAAATAAATATAAATATTTTGCACTTTTCAATTCAATTAAATTAGAAATTATTTCAGCATACAAATTTCACGCTACGATGCTTAAAACTTTATTTAGTACTTGTTCATGCTTTTATTTATACCACAAAACAGTTTTTATTAATTGTATTGAATTTTACTCGAAAAATATTAGTATGTATATACTTATACAGTATAAAATAAAAACTCGCTTCCATAGAATTTCTCACATTACTTGACTTTGGGCACGGGAATAGGAAATAATAAAATATAAGTATTTATTTCAATTCTTCAAGTGCTTACGGAGACAGACTACTATTAAAAATAATTCATGAAATTGTGTCGATGGTTCGCTTAAAAGTTCCCAAACATGTGCTAACTGATGAATCAAATTTAATATTTTGACTTTTAGTTGTTATTAATATATTTTATATAAAATTAAATATATATTTTTGTAAATATGCCTATCAATTGTGCTGTCGGTTGTGGCAATAAAGCAGTACTAAAGGTAAAAAAATGTAAGCAACATTTTGTATATTAATAATAAATCAAGCGCCCCAAAACAGGTGATCCATTTTGCAAGGAATGTTTCTTCAATGCCTTTGAAAACGAAATTCATTTTACAATTACAAATAACAAACTATTTACACCCGGATTAAAAGTTGCGATTGGTGCCAGTGGAGGTAAAGACTCTACTGTTTTAGCCTACGTACTTAAAACTCTAAATGAACGCTACAATTATGGAGTTGAGCTGACGCTGTTGTCAATTGACGAAGGTATAACTGGCTATCGCGACGATAGTCTAGAAACTGTCAAGCAAAATCGGGATGATTATAAAATGCCTTTAAAGATACTTTCATACCAGGAGCTGTATGGCTGGACAATGGATAAAATTGTCGAACAAATTGGACGTTCAAATAATTGTACATTTTGTGGTGTTTTTCGTAGACAAGCTTTGGAGCGCGGTAACTTAAACGAATAAATTTTTTACGTATAAAAGTTGCTATTTATAAACAAAAAAATTTATATTGACAGGTGCTAAGCTTCTTGGTGTTGATTGTATAGCAACGGGTCATAATGCAGATGATATTGCTGAAACAGTACTTATGAATATATTACGTGGAGATACGGCCCGTTTACGTCGTTGTACTAATGTAAGAACTGGTGGTGGTCAGAATTCAATACCGCGCATTAAACCACTAAAATACGCATACGAGAAAGAAATTGTCATGTATGCACATTACAAAAAATTAGTTTATTTTTCAACGGAATGTGTTTTTGCACCGAATGCTTATCGTGGCCATGCACGTGAGCTGTTAAAGGATATGGAAAAAGTTGATCCAGAAGCAATTTTGAATATTATACATTCGGGAGAGCAAATGAGATTTAACGATTTTGTAAAGCAACCAACACGAGGTAAATGTGATCGATGTGGGTTTCTTTCTTCACAGCAACCTTGTAAAGCTTGTACACTGCTTGAAGGACTAAACCGAGGATTGCCGAAATTGGGAATCGGCAAAAAATCTAAGGGCGATCGTATGATTGCAAGCCAGGATAAACAACTAGCATTAAGAGAAAAAGCAAATTTAGTAAAAAATGATTTTTAGATTCAGTTTATTCTAGTTTAGTTTTTATTTATTCTTTTTATATAAATATAAAATTAAACAAAAATTATAACACCACTTTTTCTTCTATTTTTGGCTGGATATATTCACATAAATTGTACGTGCATTTATTATAACACGTTAACATTGCGTCGGTCACAGTTCGCCCGATATGTGATACGGATACTATTTCCATTTGTCACAGCACGTCAATATCTGAAAATAAAATTTTATATATTATACATTTTCACGCAAATGAATTAATAAAAAATTACTAAGAATAAAACTCAGTGCCAATATGTAACCATGATACATAACCAGTTAAATTAAACGCACTCAAACCAAAAGAATATTGGATAAGTTTGTTTATATTAACCTTTTTTATGTATGTCTGAGAATGGTTAAAAGTATCATCAATGAAAGCATATAATGAAAAAACAGGTCAGAATAAAAATTTAATTACCTCAAAACGAGCTAGCAAACAATAGTGCCTATTTAAACTCTAGTCCCATGTTCGCATTTTTTCAATTCAAGCTCAGATCTAAAAAAAAAACAAGCATGGATTAACACCAAAACTTTAAATTTGTGTAATATATTATAAAAAATGTATAGTATATCAGTATAAATTGTTAATTCTTGGAATCACAGTGATTCATAAGAGATGTCAGAAAATAAAATATATATCATCAGGGATAAACTAAATAAATAGTAAAAAAAAATATAGTATTACCTCACATGATATGGTTTCCCTTGCATCAACTAAGTGACGTTATTGCTGAAACCTGTAAAACAGAAAATCAATTATTTCAAATCTAATAAGTTACTAGTTTAGAAATAAATAATGTTCATTTCACTACATTGATGCACCGCAAGTTCATTATAAGGCTTGGGTTTTGCTTATGTGAAAAAATTTATTCTTCGAGTTTTTAAATAGCACTAAAACAAGGTGAAAGTATTCCTTTTAATAGCGACTCTAGACTCGACAAGTTTTAATGGTTGGTTTACTCACCTCTTTTGCGTAAAGTCCACGAGAGTAACATTCTTAAAAAAAAAAAAAAAAAAAAAAAGAATATTAAATAAATTTAAGATATTCAATAACATCAAAAATCAATTTATTATAAAATGTTACAAGTCTTCAGGCAACGGCGATTACCTAACAAACATTGCCGTTTTAATAGAATTTGCGTTCTTATTATGACAGTGTACGAGTTATACGATAAAACAAATATATTCAAATCGTATTTATATGCACTGCCATAATTTAATGACTTTGAATATTGTTACTAAATTCTATAAAAAGTAACAATGTCTGTGTTACCTCTTTCAAACTTTCAGTAATTCAATATAGCAAAGAGTTCGTCGTTTAATGAAAAATTTATTTATTCATCAAACGTATACGTATTTGCAATTAATTTTTTTCTAAATTATGCATGCTTACTTGTAAATTGTTGATTACAACAAGTTCCCATCTAAATTACAGCCAGTTATTTACTCCTCGAAGCGTGTACCACACACCTCGAGTCAAGATTGAAAAACGTGTGCTGACGGATATTAAAATGGCAGCTGCGGCTTCGTTAAGGAGCAACACGTTTGAACGAAACTAAAAATGTAACGAAGACAGTGTTGAATAAGGCAAAAAAGACATGGATATATAAAAATGTGAAAGTAGACAGCACAATACACGAATGTGTTGCTTGGAGACGAGTGTATTATATATACTATATCTTGTGACTTTGTCAGGAGCAACAATTAAATTACTATGTTTAATTAGTATTTTAAACAATTTTTACAGCATTAGCGTTCTATGTTCATTAAAAATTATTGCAGTATATTCGTGTTGTTCTTTTTCATATAGAATATTGTAATAGTTTATTCACAAATATATTATTAATTAATATTTAAACTTAAACTCATGTTATTAGGTGTTTTTGGCACCTTTAAAGTGTCATAAAAAACAGCAAGTTGTTTGCTTAAAGTTGCTAAAATGTACGCAAAACAACAACACTGTTGCCTTTATTTAAACATCTAATTGTGAAGTAGCCAAACATTTAAGCATAAGCAACTACAAAAAAAAATGTTACCAGCGCAATAAACGAACTATTATAAATCTTCATTGGAAATTTCAGCGAATATTCCAGTCATATGCCAAAATATTGTAAACAAAAGTTCAAACAATATTAAAAAGTAACACAAGTTTCAAAATTTTAGCAATGAAATATTTTAAAAATACGCAAAATTGTGGAAAACAAATATTTTAAATATATACAAAACTATTTAGGAGTACATTCAAGAAAGTATAATTGAAAAGTGGTTTAAAATTCTTAACTTAATTGTTGCTAACAAGTTTACACTTATTAAAACATAAATATTCTAAACCACTATTAAATTTGTTGTAAAAGGAAATTTCAAAATTTTCTGCATTCTGAACATTGATTTTAGTTCATTATTGATTTTTATTTTTAATTTTTACTTTATTATTTATTAGGAACTTAGTTTTTTATAATGTAATTATAATTCTTTATATATTAAATAAAATATTATATTTTATAATTTAAATAAATTATTAAATAAAATATGTAATTAAAAATAATATAAGTACAAATTCACACTATCGTCGTAATATATAAATACCTTATATATGGAAAGTAATTTAACGATATAATGAGCGACTAAATAATACGACAAAAATGCATATATTATATCACTGAAATAAATATGAAGATTAAAATATACTTTTAAACTAATAAATTTGTAATCATCATATTCATTATGAATATATTGTAAATTTTCATTATATAAACAAAATATTAATTTTTGTTGTATGTAAAATTATACTACCTTTAATAGCAACCTTGTATTTAAATGTTGAATTAAGAATTGACAAATCTAACGGTAGTTAATATCAAAAATATTCATTCATTTATTAAGCGTCAAGTTTGGGAGGCAAAAATTCTGCGTGAAATATGATGTTATCTGATAGTATAAATATGTCTTTGGGTAAAATTTGATTCAGTGTTTTATATTTAATTATCTTTCATAATCAAATTACTTTTCATTATTTACAGACGAATACATTTTGAAAAATAATATTCAAGCGTTTTCAGGATCTCAATATGATCGAAAAAATTCAACTAAAGTAAAAGGTGATGATTACATATATATTATTGAATCGGACGACGAAATGGATGAGGATAATGAAGAGAGATTTAATCGCATTAATATACAAGAGTCGTCTAATAATAAAAGTGATACACAGCTCCCCGAGCACATTGACATGACCGTTCAAATAAAAAATTCAAGTAATTTTGCAAAGACATCATCTTTAAACTGGCGTTTAATGCAAGCAGGGAGTAATGACAATGCAGTAACTAATGCATTACAATTTCCAACAAATACTGTAAAAAATGGTAAAGGAAAAAAACGTAAAAATAAAGTACAACAAAATGGTATAAAAAAGAAAAATTTCCGTAGTCGCGGAATAAAACAAAGGTTGGGTTATAACATGAATCAAAACGAGTTTCAGAATTTTCAAAATGAAGGAAACTTTAACAATTATAATTTACAATTAAATCGTCAAATAAATCAACAAGGATATCCGTGGAATCAGAATCATATATGTCAACACAACAATTGTTGCGGTACTAATCAACATATGTAAGTTTAAAATAATTTCTACAATTGATAATTTTAATTAAATTTGAACTTTACTTCAGAAATATGAATCAATTTGTTGACTGGTTTGGTTCCAACAATTACACAAGAAATAATAATGATCTCACCATTTGTTTAAATAAAAATATGAATGAATATCTTACCAATGGTATGGTTAATGGTTTTACTAGGCATGTCAATATGACAAATCAATGTTTTCCATTTGAGAATAGACCAATGTATAACAATAATTTTATGCAAGATAGAAATTCTGATATGAATAATTTGTTTCCGACCATAGCTGCGCTTTCAGAAATCGTTTTAAATAAATCAATGCAAACTCAACACAAACATAAGGTCGTTTATGATATGGACATACAAAGGAAACTTCATTTGCTACAGGTACATTTAAATAATAATTTAATTTATTAATATTTTATATTCATAATAATATTATATTCTAGGAGAAGCCAATATCAAATTTGAATTTTGAAAGAAATACGGTTTATACTGTTAATGGCAACGGTGTAGATTGTGTTATTTTGCCGGATTCAACTAAAAAATCATTAAATATTAGATTTCGGTAAATGATAAGTTGCAAATGCACTTTCCTGATTTTGTGTTGTAATTTGAAATATATTCAACAAATATAAAATTTGCTGGTTGAATTATTTACGTATACATATAAGCATACTTATAAATTGACTCAAATTACAATTACATATAAGCATTCTTATAAATTTTTTCAATTACAATTTGATTAAAGATTTAACAAATAATTATGACAGTATTTGCAGAAGTAGCAATTTATTTTCTTATAATATAACTAGAAAGACTAGCAGAAATATAACTGCATAATTTTGTTTAATATTTTTCTAAATTTGAACTTCTATATATTTACATTTTATATACTTACATATATACTTATATGTATACTTATATATACAGTTATATATATGTATATACATATCAGTGTAATATGTACTATTGTATTTAGCATGTAATAAAGTTCTACAGTAGATCTAAAACCAAAAATAAATAAAAATATTATATTGTAAATATAAATATTATAAAATAAATATTTTTAAAAATTTTTTTACGATAACACATATTTATTTTATGTATTATATAATATATTATGTAATTTATAAAAGTATTGTTTAACTCTGCTGCATACATATATGAATACAATAAAATATATTTTATAATTTTTCTTCATATCATAAGTGCTTTACTTATTTAATAAATATATTGAAATTAATTGCATTTTTATTTTAAATTACAAATCAGTGCACTTGTATAATATGTTTTTATTAATCCTACAGTGGTTTGAACGAATGAAATTATATGATTCGAGGTGCGGCTGGTTCCTGGAGCCTATCATCGCTAACTTTTCCTTTTCCTTGTTGAGTAACAACAACTGTGAGGTAAATTTCGATTGGCTAATATATTATGCACCAATCACGTATTCAGGTTAAGAGGACATTTTTATGAATGTTCCATATTCAGTATTTTTAAGTAGTTTCTTTACATTACTGATATAAAAAAGATATTAGATCGTTTCAGATTTATAATGTTATGAAAGTTGATATATTTAAAAAGCGTCAATTTTAATTTTATTATTACAGATTTTTTGTAAATTGGACTTTGGATGCTTATTGAATAACCTAAAGTAGTCAAATATGTTGAAATTATTCAAAAATCAACAAATCACATTATGACAAAAAAGTCCTAGTTACACCAGTGATAATAGATCACTTCCACCAGCTATTCATAGTAAAACTTGAGTAAAATACAAATACAAATAAAGTGCCCACAGATTTTCATGGAACAGCTGGTTCATGGTAAAGTCTGGTGAGAACACCAGTGCTGCGCAAATAAACAAAACAAAAATTTAAATTCAAACCAAAACAGGTAATTCATATATCAACACAAATTTTATTTGAACTAATATGTACTAGTAAATTTCGAAAGGGCTGTTATATTCTCATTTACTCGACAATTTACTGGTAGAACGCTCTTGTGTATATACAGTATTACTCAAAGTTACTACAAGTACCTCGTGGAGCAGACCTAAAAAATAACCACAATATATATTTTAAAATATAAAAATAATATAATAATTTCTTTTGCTTTTTCACATAACAATAATATACACAAAAAACATATGACCATATAATAAATAATTTTGTAAGCATCTTAAAACAAATAGCAAGTTAATTACAATATCGCAAGTATAGCAAGTATTATTATTATTTATTGTCAGTTGATGGAATAATTTTTTTGTTGTGGCCAGATTTTTAAAAATTTCACAATGTTTCGTTTTGCACATAATTTGTCGTGTTTTTTTTTGCAACACGACAACCCTTAAAAGCGGCTTAAATTTGTAAAATAAAAACAATGTGAAAATATGTTCTTACTGATAACAAAGTTATAATGTTAAGTCATTTGTGTGATATTCTTATCAATAAAAAATTTATAAACGGTCACAAAGTGGGCTTCATAGCACGACTGAGAAGTACGAAAATTTAAAATTGCCATGGGCAATAGAGCAGTTGTATCTCGTGAACGAAGCAAGTTATAGCCTTTGTCGTGACGGAATAGAGGCGAAAGTGAATAAAATAAATAAATAAAGTAATTTATATTTGCTAATATTAAATGTTTTCTAGATACTAGCAAAATATAAAAATTTGTTACTAATTATAATAATAGTTCAATTTGGTTTATTCAATTATTTGCTTTCTACACGCTCTTTGAACACGTAAATTGCTATACAATATTGGAAATTGGTGCAAAATCTAAGAACTGCATTATTTTTGCATATATTCTAATTATAATAATGTTACTGCCGACGAATGGTATTTAAATTGTGTTTACACTATAGCGTAGGTGTGCTTCGGTATCTGCCATAACCACTAATTGAAGTTATACGGTATTGTAACGAGTACAGATCAGCTGAAGAGTCCAAAGTGCGCTGCAAATTTTATTAACATAATTTGAAATCAACAACATCTTGCGGATTATAATTGGTGCACGCGGGAAGACGTTAAAATGCTTAAGTGTCGGGGCCTAATTTTGCGCATCAACAAAGGTAATAATTTAATCATACTAAATCACTAAGTATTTTATGCCTACTTAGTTAAGTAACATTAAGGACCATTGAAATTAATTGGAAACAGTGCAAGTCAATGCCTTAGAAAATGTAATGAGATTAAAATAAATGAGAACAGGTGAACAAGTTTTCAAATTACCCCTAAAATTAATAGAATTTTATTGTATTGTTTAGTTATTTCTTTTTAATATATTTACTTATTACTTACTTTTGTTTCGGTAATTAAAAATCATTTTATATTATTTTTATTATATTATATATTATATCACTTATATTTTTTTATTTTATATTATTTTCGTATTATATCTAAAAATAAATTGGAACCCTTCACGGTGCTCTCGAAAATATTGATATTTGAATTGATAAGAGGTGAATCGATTAATTATTGTCTGGATGTTGCTTAACAGATCTCGTAACATTTGATCTAATCAAACATATCTTAACACAGGGACTTTTTCTAAATCAAAGCATTTTTATTTGGAAAATAATTGAAATAGGTCAGCAGTATTATATACAACACATACAAAATAAATGGCAATAGCGAGATTATATTTTCAATATATTTAAAATACGTTTTGAAAAATTCCTTTTTATATAAAGGTTTATGGCATTCAACATATTTTTTTTTGTAACAGATGTCATTAAAAAAGTGATAATAAATCATTAAAATTATACGATATCAAAATATTGATAACTAAATTCATATATTGAATTTAATTTGTACATTTAATAAATAAAATAAAGCCAACTAAATTTCTATATTGAATTCAATTTTCGTATTTAGTAAATTAAAAATAAATTACAAAAAAGAAATATTTCCGAAGACCATTGATGATAAATATTACTAATATACAAAATAACTTTTTGTATAAAGTAGTCAAACATTTTCAAAAAAAAAAAAAAAAATTATAATGTAATTTCCTTAATATTACTTTCCTTTCCTATTTCAGATAGGTTCTTAAATTTAATGATTTATAAAAGTTATGTTTGTATTAAGTTCAATTGCTAATTTATTACTGAACCTGCACTAATTTGTATTTACAAATTAAAAACTTATATTTTATACAATTCACTGTATATATCACTGAAAGCTCTGTGTAATCTTAGTCTATATTAATTGTGCAATGTTATTGGTTTCTAGTTTTTATATTTCATACAAAGTACATTCTTTTTTATATGGCAGTTTGTGGTTTAACCGGGCAGAATGAGTGATCTTATTTCCTCTTTTCCCCCACCCTTATCCTAAATACTACTCATATACATCCCAACCCATGTATTCGTCTTGTAATGTTGGGTACATGTTATCTGTTTTCAGATCTCGGCGGGTTACAATAGCAAAAACAGTGATCTTGTCAGTATCTACTTAACAGCGCTTTTACTGTCTACACAAATAATTATATATAATTTATTAATTATGATTGATTCAATAACTGAATTAGAGAAGTATTTTTTTTTACAATTTACTAGCTATATTAATTATATTTAAATATATTAAATTTCGACTCTAAATTAGTTGAGGAGTACTTAATATGATCGGAAATTAAATAACTGATAAGCAACTAAAAGGAAATTTATTTTTTTTTTTTTTGCAATAATTCGATGTCATTACGTTATAATAAACAAACGTTTTAAAAATACTAAATTAAAACTATTTTTGTCCCTGGAAATAAGTACACATTTATGACATTTATATCGAAATACGCTACATGAGGTATATAAGGCCTACTATTCTATATTTACTCGTACATTCTATACAATAATGAAAAAAAAATTGTTTAAAATTGCTCAACTAAACTTAATTAATATAAATAACGAAATAAACTCCTTTGCTTCGCCCACGCCTGTAGTCAGTGCATAATTTAGCTGAAGTATATACAATAAAAATAAATAAAAGTTAAAGTGCCAGTTTACAGCACGCATTTATGCAGTGCTTAGCTTATTCAGTGTCTGTAATAGCTAGAATTTGGCTAGAGTTTTACCGATAGTGTCCAAAAGCGAATACATATTATTTTCGAAATTTGCCTACGAACAAAAATTTGTATGTGTTTGTGTACAAGTAAAGATATATTCAAAAAAATATTATCAATTCTAGCTATTGTAGACACAGGGTTAGCCTAGACATAACATTGCCAAAAAGCGAAAAATAAGAAAACAATAAATGCTACCTAACTGCACTATAATTACGAATTAAAAATTCTTATGGATTAAAAACTTAATTATATAAACATAATTAATGTTAGCACATCTTATTAAAATATTTTAAATTAGTTATTAAAAAGTTTATCGGTATTTGAACAGTTAAACAAAAAATAATTTTGTTGAACTGAAAAAAAATGGTTAGAGTATTGTAAGGTCGGATTGAATCAATTTGTTTACAAATATTTTTTATTCAGATTAAAAAAAATAACAATTTTTTGATTAACAAACTTCTGATAAGATTTTTTTATAGATAATTTTTTGCAAATATTTTTCTGTTTTTTATTGTAAAGAATTCATGATTAGCAACAATAATAACACTTGTATAAATTATAAATGACGTCGTGCTTCAGAAAAATAATATAGAAATATTTTTACGCATTCTATTGGCCTTAATTGAAATAAATTTTCTTATGGGGTCTTTTGAACATAATAATATATAAAATATAAATAATATATAAATATATATATATAAATTATATAATATATAAATTGTTTAATTTGAGTCGGCTGATTCAGATGCTGCCCATATGTCTATATTGCCATTTTAGAGGTTCGGCCTTTGGGACAGTTGTTGTTAGGTTTAGCTTACTCATATTAGTCACAATCGTTATTTGTTCGTTTGGAGATACTAGATCTAGTGGTATATACATAGGTATTCGTACAAATTATATTGAATAGTATAACGAACTTGATTTGCGTATGGTTTAATAGGCTGTACATTGGGTGTGTAGATGTGCATATTTCCATTAATCTAAGGCATTCTTGCTATGATGTTTCCCCCATTAGGTAGGTCTATTTTATGATAGTTTGTTATATATATACATTTCTCTACTTTTGGTAATTTCCATCAGTTTCAACGTTTTAAAGTCTGAAACTTTCTATAAGATGTATATATAATTACAACTGCTATATTGAACTACTTATTTTTGATTTGCATAATTAATTGTTACCAGCAGTTTTCGATCAAGACTTTGAATTCGGCTGTGGTTTGTAGAAACTCGTTATGCAGTTATTGTAAGTCAATTTAGTAGTCCAATGTTAGAATAGTATCGTCTTCATGGTATATATAATCTATTACATTGAGTACTATGTATATACTTATTTGATTTATTTAAATAATGCTTACAAGTTATTTTCTCTCATTTATCTTTTCAATATCATTTTATTATGCTAATATTTTTTATTAATAAATAAAATTTTTTAATTATTTATCTCTGCTTATCACAGATTACTATGCAATTCGAAAATGCTGTGATCAAAAACGAGAACACTCAAAGTTTGTACCAACAAATTTTAAGCTGCAACGTGCGCTTTTCGTTACTAAATTATCACGTTATGAATTTGAACAGCTTCGACACCCGCGCTTGAATAAAAACCAACTGGAACAAGTAATAAGGAATCGTGGAACTGACTTTGAGTTTCTAATATACTTGCATAATCTTCATAAAGATTTTGAAAGAAAAGTTGTGAAAAGTTTTCAAGACAGTGGTTGTGAAGTGAAGTTGGCCAACAGGTAAACTAAGAATATTGTTGATCATTTCGATATTTAATATTTTAGATTTTGAAGACACGAATTTAGAAGCTCGCTTAGCAAAGAGATTATGGAATGGGCGAATGTGATTGTGCCCATTGGTGGTGACGGTACTTTTTTGCTGACTGCAGGTCGTGCTAGTCCATTGTTTGCCCAGAGTCAACAAAAGACCCCTATTGTTGGTTTCAATTCTGATCCAAAACGTTCCGAAGGTAGATTGATGTTACCAGAATATTATTCAGAAAATCCGGCAGATGCTGTTGCGAGAATAAAAGGTGTAAGTACGAAGGGTTGTGAGTAAGTTATGTACTACCTTTAATTGCACATTTTACTAGGGGAGTT